AAAAATCAGCTTTTTCCATTTAGCTAATAGTTTTTCATATGATGCTATTCAAAATTGGCATTCGTACAACCTATGATGCAAATATTATTTGAGAATGATTATTATAGGTGGTGATAAATTGTTGGTGATTTTATTGTCTGCTAATTCAAGTAAAAAGGGAGATTCTTGTTTGATCTAATAATTTCAGGCTGCAGTCCTCATAATAAATGCAATAACTTTCCTAAAACATGATGAACCTAACTAAAAAAAAATAACTCAAACTGTGTTTTGGTGTTTAAATTAATCGTTTAAAAATTCAAACCAAATTCGCAAATTGAGGTTTATATGATGTGCATATTAACTTCAAATGGACTCTGTATATGTGTATCTGTGTTTGCGTTTATTTGCATGTGTGTGTGATCAGCGATGAACTCTCTGTTTATTATTACTTAAAATGCATCCGATTGCTAAAGTCGTTACACTTTGAAACAATAGCCAATGCAATTCAACTTAACTGTACATGTCTCTTATATTTAACTGTAGCAATATGTACAACAAACACAAATCACCTTCTCGATTTAGGCGAAATGATTATTTCATTGTCTGCTTTCTTTGTAGATGTTTTTTCTTTATTTCTTTCATAACAACCTCCTTTGCTCTGTCTATTGATTTTATCGGTCGATCTAAAAACAAAAAGTCGTAGCCTTCACAGCACAATCAGTTCTTTATGTTTCCGACTATAAATCTATCTCACAAGAATCGAAAGCAAAGAATAACAATGGGGAAATCAAAGAAAACAAAATATATGGTTGTTTTGCACAGAGAGAGACATTCTGTCTTGAGGAGAGGACATTTGGTTAATACCAATTGATCATTGAATTGGAATTCCATTATTCAGCCGGTGCCTGAAAGACGCTGGTCGAAATGTCTTTGCAAATTATTCGAACGGATTTTCGAGGTGATTTTCCAGCGCATGGCAGTGGGCCGACTGCCAAGAAGGAAGAAACCTAAGTCCTAACTAAAGTTGGTACTTTGACTTCTGAGAAGAACAACCCTAAATGACGTAAACGTACACATTCTCCGGCATTTATGTGTGTATATCCGTATATACGAGCCTGACAAGCATCCACCATATATATATATATATATATATATATATATATATATATATATATATAAAGTAATTTGAAAGGCTTCTAATCTGCCAAGGAGAAGTAAAAAGTAAAATAAACAAAATAAAATCAATAAAAACGTACTTTAACATTTCATGATACACTGTTCAATAGAACTGTCAATATATGAAAGCAGTGAAGAAAAATAGTTTAAACATAATCCAAGAAAAAATACACTCACTTTTCAGTGCTTATTTGTTTCACGCAATGAAGTGTTCCTCGGACTGTTCAGCGACCAACATTTCTTTGTATTAGTAATGCTAAGGCTTATTTCTCTATGACTGGCTTAAATTTTAAGGCCTCCAAAACAAAACTACTACTATTTAATCAACAAGGAGAACCATTTCTGCCTTATATCCGCATTGCTAAACTCCATCTTGGCCTCACGTTTCCCACTGAAATGACATGACTATATCGAATCAATTGCTTTGTATATTGCAAGGAAAGTTGTTCCATTGTGTCGTACCCGGAAATTTCTCTCGTCAGAATACATCTTAGACATGTATAAATCTACCATTCGTCTCTGAATTGAATATAATTGTCATATCTGGTCGGGTTTTTCGGTTGTATATCTCAATATTCTTGACAAAATCCAAAGAAGGATCTGTAATATAAATTATTCTGACTTGGCATCTCGATTTTAGTCACATTCTCAATGATATGATGTGGCGTGAATTTTCTACAAATTTTTATGGTAACTGCTGAGCATTTTTCCCTGCTAGATGGATTTAAGATTAGTAAATAGGCCCCACTGTTTTACTATTGGACTAGCTAGATGCCACAGCCACTTCTACTCTAACACTTTATTTTTTTGCACTTCCAACGTTTGGAAATCCTTTCCGATTTCTTGCTTCCCCGCTAACAGCAATCTAAAAAAATTTAAATAAAACGTCACTCGACATCTATCATTTTAGACCCTGTTCCTTTTTATTCACTTTCACTCCCTGTAAACACTTGCGTTCTAGTTGCTTTGCTTTGGGGAAACGATTAAAAAAAACCAATGGAGAATTTTAAAAAAATATGTGCGTGCTGTATGGTAAAATTTGTAAATCCAGTCGGAATCTGAAAAGAGATATTGCATTCCATGACAATGAAGTTACTTAGTTTTCCAAGAAATCCTGACAATGTGGCATCTTTTGTATATCATATACGCTTCAAGCCGAATAAGTTATCTGCTGGTCTAAAAAGGCAAATTAAAACTCATGATCATTTAGGCTATGACAACTTATTACGCGATGAAAACTTAATGACACGGCAAACAGTTATAAAGATACTCTAAATAACAGATAGATAGATATTGAATATTTCAACATTATTTTGGGGAAAAATCTATCTATCTATCTATCTATCTATCTATCTATCTATCTATCTATCTAACAAACTTTGCTGGAAAACAAGACGCCAATAAATTTATCGAAGAAAACAAGCCTTTCAATATAAGGGGGTCTGGACTCGTACCACTGAGGTTCCTTTCTATGATCGTCGAAATAATACCTACGTACAACGTAATGGCATTGCAATGGGTTCCCTCCTAGGACCAACATTTAGTAACTTCTTCATGGCTAACATTGTCAATAAGATATTTAACACAACTAAGAAACCCTCCATCTACGTAAGATATATAGATGATATTCCTATCTTAGTTAAAAACACAGATTAAATACATGAACTACCAGAAAAAATATAAAAATCTCATACATGAAAGTGCAGTGACTCATTCCTCTGGATATTAGCATTAGCTTATCTGAAAGAAAATTATGCCATCTGAGATGTTTAAGCAATTCAGAGTTAATTAGGTCCTCTGGTCCTTTGTCATAAAATAAATGTCTATGATATGAATAACATTAATCGTGTAAGTTAAACTTGGATAATGAATTGAAAGTGTGCCTATTAGAACATCCGTAGTCCTATTGCAAGATGCTCATAGAAAAATGCATATTGGAATTCTCGATTCAACTGAACTACCAGAATGTGATCGAATGATAGAGCATTGTATTCTTTTTATTTTAATCGCGATGAGAAGACTTCATCCTAACACGTTTACATATAATACATGCAACAAAAGTTTGAGCCTAAAATAGGTAAAAATGATTGAAAATATAGAAGATATGATCTGACACTTGAAAACATGACACATCATAGAATTTGACTCGCGATATAAAACAAAAACTAACGAGATAGCAAACAAAAAATGTTAGCCAAAAGTCTTTAGTTACGAGAAGCTATATTTAAAAATACGAACAGAACATTTAAAAAAAATAATTAGAAACATCAAAAAAAATGAATAAAAATAAACATCAAAAACGTTCATTGCATTTTCAATCCAAATGAATGAATGAAATTTTAGTGTGTGTGTGTGTATAATAATAAAATATATTTAATGTATGCTAAAGACAGAGAGACACACAGAGAGAGAGAGAGAGAGAGAGAGAGAGAGAGAAATAATACAAGCAAAAGTTTTCCCACTGAGTTGATTGATGCTACCTTCAGATTCCCGACTCCAGACGAACCCACCGGGAATTACTCCGTCCACTCGTCAGATGTTTTTTGTGTGTGTGGTATGGATGCTTGGGGCAGAAGCTGAAACTGACATCTGCTACTCACTCTGCGATGTATCGACAGATTGTGTTCAACACATAGGCTCTTCAAATTTTTTTCACAGTGACGATGATCTTAGAGAATATTTTACTAATTGAACCCTGATTATTTAATTTCTCTAACCTTTCACTCGTGGTCTTCATGAACTTCCTGTGGCAATGCCTTTCTGTTGTATAATATCAATCCCAGAGCGTTATTACCGAGTGTTACTCATTTGACATCCACATTGAACACAGCGCTTAAATGTTATGGGACTCTTGGCAATTTCGTCATTGACAGTATTGAGTCACATTCAGATTGCCCAAACTCAGGCTACTTCATCCAGATACTTTTAACCGCGAATATGCCATTCTAAAGAATTAGGATATTGTGGAAGCAGACACCCTGATCTGGCATCTCGTCTGCAGTCGCTCTCTCACAGACGTGCCGTCGCCTCCCTCTGTCTTTTTTTACAAATACTTTTACAGTAACTGCTCCGATGAGCTGATTTCGCTGGTTCCCAGACTTCATGAATTTAAGCGCTCAACTAGGCTGCCATCTCGCTCACACCCTTTCACTGTCGAAACTGTTAAATATAGTTAAATAGTTTCATGTCTCGCACTTCTCACCTGTGGACTCCCTCCCTATTTCTTGTTTTCCTTATAACTATAATCTCCAACTATTCAAATGTACCGTCAATCGACATCTCCAGATACCCTGATCTATCCTCTAACCGTCTCTTCATCCTTTTCTCTATCATTCATCTTTTTTCTCGTTCCTACTCCGAAACCCTTTGCGTGCTAGTGGCTTCCCGCCTTGTTTGGGATTGAATGCTTAAGAAAAAAAAACTATGTTTGTGATGTACCGTGGGTAAATATGTGTCTGAATGAGTTTTGACGTATTCCACTCCGTGAATACATTTTCTATAAAATTGCTGATAAATAGACGTAAATTATTATGCTGAAATTATGTCTTTTGTCAGATATTTGGTTTAAATGTATTGGTGTATTGATTAGTTTTGGTTTAAATGCATTGGTGTATTGATTAGCTTTGGTTTAAATGATTTGGTGTATTGGTTAGTGTGCTATTTTCAACTTTTCTCGAGGTTTTTCTCAAGGATTTGTAGGATTTTAGATTTTGTTCATTCGTGTGAATTAATATTGGCATGTACGTTCGAATTTCCACATTTTTTTCTTCGATCAATCTACATGCTCTTCTACTTATTAAAAAAAATACGATTACAACCTACCCCCTTTTCCAAAATGCTAATCATCAGTTGTCAATGCCTGCCGCCTGCACAAAAAGGTCAGCAGCTACTGTCCATCTAAATTTGTTCCAATCATTACTCATTGCTGACATAACCGGACAGAGACAAACAAGGAAACACGCGAGCGAGCAAACAAATCTACTGGACGTAAAAGAATAGGAATCGCGGGGTAAGGATGTTGATGACAAAGAAGAAGAAGGAGAAGAAGAAGAAGAAGAAAGAAGAAAAAAAGAAGATGATGATGATGATGATGATGATGATGATGATGATGATGATGAAAAAGCGTAATAGTAGGAGGAAACTGCATTTATTTTCAAGACACCAGATAAAAAAATGCACCAGAGAATAGAAAGAAATTGCTTTGGACATAATTTTCTGGAGACAAGGAAAAATTGCTGTCATTTTGTACAAGACAAGAACACGCATCAATATTTTCGATTTTGCGTTGTTTGGAAATTCGAACGTCTTTTGCTCAAAGAAGTATGGAATACCCTAAATGGTATTTTTGTGAAATGACTTAAGAACTGTCAAGAAAAATTGTCTGAAAAGAAAGTGAATGTTAGGAAAGTATTATAAGTTAATCAAATGCTTTGAACAAATTACCATCATTGTTGATGAAACTTTGAAAATTTACAGGCATGAAGAAAGTGGATCAAGAATTTGGAAAACTGTAACATAAGGAAGAAAATTTATATCAAAATTACTTCCTGCTTTTTATAAAGGTACTCACTGTATTTATTCCACAAAGGTTAAACATAAATTCACATCAGGTAGAATACACACAACTGAAAATAAGTAAACTAAATTAAAAGTTAGTAGCGATTTCATACTTTTATTCTTTATATATATATATATATATATATATTGAACAATAAGAAAATAAAAAATTAAAAAATTAAAAAATTAAAATCATTAGACACACTGGGTTGTAGAGTAATATTCTTTAGTTTTTTTTATTATTATTATTCCATTTAGATTCCTCGACTAGTTTCGACCGAAATGGCCATCATCGGGAGGAGAAATATTTCTGCTTGCTGTTGGCAGTGAACCACAGAAATGAATGTCTTTTGTTGGAGAAAATGAACTTTTGTCTGTAGTTTTCATTTGTTTTTTTATTTGTTTATCTTTTTCACATGAATCTTTTAACATTCCTTGTGTTGGTCAAACAGTCTCTTTTAAGTTGTTATTTGAGATAAGAACTGGATAGATACATTTTATCCTGAATTCTCTGGTCAGTTTGACAGTTTTATTGGACCTGGTGAGGGGATGTGTCTCTGTTTAGTGTGTGTTATTTGATTCTTAGGGAGCAAGTGAGTATGATATGTGTAAGCGTGTGTATTGCTGTAGGTGTGTGTTATCATTTAGCTCATTAGGGAGTGAGTGAGTATGGTGTGTGTACATGTGTATAATCGTGTGGGTGAGTGTATAAGTGTGAGGCCTCCATTCCTCCGTAAGCATGTCTGTCTTGTGTGGGTGAGAAATGTGGGTAGGTTTTGATTTGTTGATTGTTACTATTATATATTGTTAAATTTATGATTTAGCCCGGCTGGGTATTGTGTTTTTTAGACGTTGTATCCACTTATTTTCATGGGACTCTAAAATCTTTTCTAATGTTATCTGCTCTGAACTTTTCTATTCTCTCAATTATAGTGAATCTGGCATGGGTTTTGAAATCGTGTTTTTTCTAGGCGGAAATGTTGTTCTACAGGTAATAACTGTTCATAGAGTCGATTTAATTCGCTTACGATAATTATTAATTCTGTAGTTAAAGGGCCATTCAGATTTTCCCTACATATTGTTTCTGGCATAGTGTGCATTCTAGGAGGTAAATTATGTTTTGACTTCTACAGTTAGAATCGTGGTAGATTTTGAAAGTAGATTTAGTGATTGAGCTAGTGAATGAATTCGTGTTTTTTAATATGGTTGCAACATAAACTTCTTTTGTTGTTACATGGTTGGGAAAATCCTGTTGTTTTTGTTCTCAGTTCCTTACGGATTACCTTGTCCCCTGAAATGTGGTTACTACCTATGATTTCTTTTAGGTTCTTAGGTCTACGATATGCAAGAAGGCCGGGTTCCTTAAGCAGTTTTTTAGGTCTGGTTTGAGATGTAGTATTTCCCAGCGACGTTTGATTATTTGGGATAGTGGAGGCAGAGGGGATTGAAAGTGGTTACTAGAGGATGCGGCTAGATTTATTTTAATCTTGTATATTAGGGTGCCTTCTCTAGGTGTGGAAATTGCTTTATTTATTTGTTCCTTGATTAGGTGTTGTTTATAGCCACGTGTTGTGAATTGATGCTCCAGATTTTCAATGTGTTTATTTAATTCTTCATTGTTGGAACATATCCTTCTGAGTCTAAGTGCTTGTGAATAGGGAAGGTTCTCTTTGAGGTGCTTAGGGTGGGAAGACATATATATATATATATATATATATATATATATATATATATATATAATGTATACTAATAAATATACATATTATCCCTAACCGATAGCAAGACTCTGTGTTTCATGGTAAACGCAATGTCTAGGTGATGAGTATAGATTGGCCATTACACAATTTCAATTTAACAAAAATATCCGGTTATCGCTATGTTGGTGTAGTTATATATTATATGGAGATTAGGGATTTATTTTATTTTTAAAAATATATTAGGCATTTAAAATAAAGAGGATATATCGGTCCCACACAATCACGGTCGAAACGGTAAAATATAACCATCTCTTCTACACAAAGAGCCCCTTCTCTCTCATTTACCGTTTGTGGAATTCTCTTTTCTTACACGCTTTCTTGATAACTATAATTTTCAAGTATTCAAGTGTAATGTCAATCGACATCTACTGATACCTTGATCTTGTTCCCCGTGCTTCTCTTTCACCTCACCCCAAATACGCCTCTTTATTCTTGTTCTCCGCCCTCTGTAACTGCTTGCGTACTTGTGGGACTCCTACCTTTCTTGTGTTGAACTGCTTAAAAAATATATTAAGCATAAAAGGGGATTAATTATTCTTAAAAAAAAACATAGTTTGCATTATAATTAATCTGGATCAATGTATTAGAGCAGATTTTTATTTTTATACCTATATTTAACCAACAATTCATTTCTCTTGTTTAATAAGCTAGGGTTATTTAAGTATTTTAAGATAACTAACTTTTCAACAAGACATAAATTACAACTATTGCCTTTCCTATTGTAAGTGCTGGCTCATGCTAAAAATTCCCTCGTGATAATAGGCGTATTACTACCATTCTTAAATATTATTAATATTCATTAAATATTTAGAGGGAAAAATACTGTTTTTTTATATTGCCTGCAGTCATTCGATGATAGTAGAAACGAAAATTCCAAGGATTTTCAGTGGTAAAAATTGACAGCGTTACTAGAATGTATGCTAGCTCGGTAGATAATATTATCAGTCATACATTGATTCATATTTTTTGGCAGATGTGTTTATTTAAAAAAATAACGTTGTCTTTGTTGTAAATATATTTATTTCATATAATGTTGGGATATATATATATATATATCGATGTTACTAACGTAGCTATAGCTGATCTTAACATTATTTTTTAAAAAGTCTCTCACTCTCCCTTTCTTCTCTCTCTGTCCCTATCTATCTATCTATCTATCTATCTATCTATCTATCCTATCTATCTACCCATATATCTATCTATCTCTCTCTCTCTCTCTCTCTCTCTCTCTCTCTCTCTATATATATATATATATATATATATATATATATATATATATATATATATATGCTTATTGGTTTATTGTGTTCTAAGAAATGGGAATGGTCTTGAGGCGACTGTACTATGGAATGCATCACCGACTAAATTCATTGCTAGCGCTCGTAGAATAAGGCCACTGTACTGTGGAATGAAATATGAAAAATAGGGTCTTATTTGCAATAATTTCCAACTGGAATTGGAGCTACCAGATTCAATTATATTGCAGAATTGTTAAAAGTCCACATATGAAATCGTAAGCAGGGATTGTCGAAAAGTTGCATCTATGAACCCATTTAAATAGATGTGGTACGATGTGTTGTATTTTATTTATTTTTGATACTCACACATTCATTACCAAAGATTATATAAAAGACGAGGATGTACTGTTTATTAACGCGTTAAAACCATTTATCCTCCAGGTTAAGGGAAACTTAGCAGGGAGCAATATCTAGGTAGAGAAAGATGCAGAACATTCGAATTCATGTACTTGCGATTGTCCTGAATCCCTCGCTGCTCTTCCAAGCTAGACTTTAATTTGCAATGCAGCTTCGATTGTATCGCCTTATTTGGTAAACTTTCTAAGAAAAGCTATAGTCTGGATTTGATAACCAAAGAAAAAGCACACATTTATATTTCCAAATAAACAAAAAAATCCATAATACTAAATAAAAGTACGTCGTGAAGCCCCAAAGAGCTTTTTGTGCATTCATAAGATTTTAAAGATATAATGGCGAGTTTAAAATAATCCAAGAAACGAAATATTATGTTTGAAGAAAAAAAAAGAAACTGTTTTACAATATAACAACATTGACAATTATTTTTCTATATATCTATCTATCTATCAAAAAAAGGTAGGATGTGTGTGTGTGTGTGTGTGTGTGTGTTTGTGTGTGTGTGTAACGAATGCACGGCCGCAATTTTCGACGGATTTGCACCAAAATTTACATGCACATGCTCCAAGTTGGAAGGCCAAGACAGACTTTGGATTTCCCAACTCCCATCGATAGTGGAAATCGATTTTTTATGATTCTACAGCAGTTTTCATGTAGTTTTCGACCATTTTCTACTGTCCAGAGTGAGAGCCTATAGCTGGCTGCCCCGAATAGACAGGAAGATTCTATTGGCCAGCATGAGAACTAACAGCTGACTGACACGAATGTTAACTAGCATGCAAAAAAATTCGATAGCTGCATTCGTCACAAGTGCGAAAAATTTAAATCTGCATGGCCAATCTCCAATTGGCTCATTCGCTTGCTTAATTTCAACATTGATTCTGATTCCGCAGAACTGGGTTGGGTGTGAAAAAGTATTTGTTGTTAACATTCTTTTTTCATTTGTTTTTTTCAGTTACGAGTTTTTTTTTAAAGCTGATCGTTTTGTGTTCATTTTGTTTAGTTCTTTTCTTGTAACAGATTTAATGTTTAGAATAAAGCTTAGAAAAAATTCGCAGTATGAGAATTAAGGGATGTGGCAACATCAGCACGGCAAATGGCACTCCTTTAAAGCCAAGGAGTGTGCAAAAATATTTTAAGACAAGTGATAGCGTTTGCTGTCTGTACGATTTTTG